GTTCAGAATGTGAAGGGTCTAGTTCTGTTCTGAAATTATTAATCCGGAATTTGTCTTTCCGATTAGATGTCAGATTTCACTTTCACACATGTATTGTAAGGAACACCACCACGCCCATAACACAGAAATGGGAATCTCTACAAAAGTGCTTTAATACATACTAATCTAGGTGAAAAATACTTCTGGCTCTACTATACACCAAGGAGTTGGTTGAAAGTACTTGCATAATAATCCATATTGAATTATTTCTGAAATCTTGTGAGCCAACGTACCTTAGCTTTCATGATCTGACAATTGTATAGTTTGCTAAATAAATCATGGCTTCACAAAATTTGTGAACAAAGATATTGTCTCCAGATTCTTGGATTTGGTTAGTATTTTATGTAAATCTAGGCATTGTGGGTTAATTAGCCAAATGATTCATTAGGTTTTTCTCTTATTCACCTACAAGCTGTTAAAAATCCCACATTGGTCTTATATCCACAGACACTTAGGATCAGGGACTCTGCTGGTACTGCGTATACTGTGTGTGCCTGCCACATGATTCCCACAATGATTGGCAAACCCGCCTTTGCTAAAAATACATAATTTTATGTTTTAGCTCCAGTGCCTGGAAAAAAAACCAGTAACCACCATCTTTCAAGTTGACGAATTCCTAACCAAAAAATAATAGCCTGTTTTTTCATTCCATCAATTTTTTTAAAAAAGTTATAGCTTCCCAAATTTGCTTTTGCATTGTAAAAGAAGCCAAAGAAATATCAACTCTAGTGCACATCAGAAAGTTCCAGCCAAATTTTTCATCTAGGCACATGCCTACTACAGACACATGCCTACTACAAATGCCTAAAACAAGCCCTGACAACTCATTTCAGTGGAAAGCTCAAACTATTATTTTCATTTCTAAAACATTTTCCTCAAATTACCATTGGTTTGTAGAGATTGGCAACCACATAGCCTAGAAATAATTATCTTAAAATTTGATTTTGGTATCTCTGTTTTTCTACTGAGCTAGAATACTTTTCACGGGGTCTGAAGATTATAAAACAAAATTTCACATTTCTTACTCTTTGCTAAGACAGTAAAGAGAAGGCATTCAAGTGGTTACTGATTGCAAAGGGAATAAAGGTGGCATGCAATGCATGTAAAGTTTTGATTATGTGGTGATGGCTGCCTTCTCAACTTTTTTTTGACATCCTGTGGCTCTTCTTGCTACTCCTACTTTGCTTAATAGATGGCAAGAGAGGCTGAAGTTGATGTTCAACATTTAATAAACTCTTGATTACTCCTTGATTTACACAAGAGCAAGTTTCAATGGCCCTAAGTAATTAACCATTGTTCTGGGGTATCCCTAGGTGGCTCTTCACGCAAAGGCCGATCCAAGAAAGAGGCTGAGGACCATACAAATCGCCCAAATCCTGGTGGCCATGAGCGCAAGATCGTTTTGAAGCTGCAACGCACAGAGCAGAAGCGAAAGGCGACCTCCCAAAAATGAAAAAATGCAGGTGAGAAGCCAGTGTATGGCTCGATAAATAGCTCCACTGATGTGTCAAGAGTTTTAACTCAAATGATTGTCACTTGACAGAAATTGGTAAAAAGCAGCTGGGAGGAGCTGCTTTCCTTGCAGAGAAAGGACATACAGCCACATATTAACTGCAATATATTTTTTTATTCTCTTAAACCAAGAGTATCCAATCGTGGCAAATTTTAAGACTTGTGGACTTCAACTCCCAGAATTCCTGAACCAGCCATGCTGGCTGAGGAATTCTGAGAATTGAAGTCTTTAAGTCTTAAGTTGCTAAGATTGGACCCCCCCCCCCACTTTCTTAAACCATTTTTATCAGCCATTTGGAGCTCACATAGTGGGTGTAAACATTTTCCCCCTCCCTACGTAGAAGCTGCACCCACCAATCACCATTTTCTTTCCTCTCTCACTAGCTCTGAATCTGGTTCGCTACTCAGGATCTGGACACCATGGCAATGTCGACGAGGCTACGGAGACGGATGGACGCCGTGTAATTTGATGGTTCCTTGAATTACGGAAGATGGTAGATAGCCTTATGGCTCACATCAGGAACGAGTGAAAGTGAAGGCTGCAATTCATCCCAAAACCATCAGGGGGGAGAACCCATGCCTTAATATTCACTCTGGAAAAGCAAATGGAATGATTGTACACTTAGGTTTGGAAAAGCAAATAGTTGTCCTAGGCTTACTTTTTTTCTTCTTCAATGTTCCTCCCCAAAAGTCAGGATATTGTGATGTCTTAAATCATTTTGAAAGTTATCCTGAGAATGGGAATTGATTCATCTATAAATGCTGTTATTAATGGTAGCCAAATTTGTTTCTTTCTCTTTAAAATGAGATATAGTAAATTTTATAGTATGGGGGAAATGTGGCAATGTTAACCTCACATAAATTGGGGAAGCAGGGAGTGGGCAGGAGAGTGGATCAAGAAAAACCTATATTGGGATAGAGAGAATAGCATTATATTCAACTCTTAGTTCCTTAAGATGTGCGTTTGTGTTTTTCCATGCTAAATAAAATCAGCTTAACTGTTTTCTCGCAATTATTTGAAATGAAGCATATTCACAGTGAGCAGAACAGAAAAGAACTGAGGCAGATTTTACAATAAGCTTTTATTAAATACTCAAATCCCTCCTGCTATCCTCCCCAAGTACCTTGGCAGTATTTGCTGGTGCACATGGCATAAAAATTAAGTTCTTTGATTTCAGGTCAGTTCGATACCCCAAGAAGAGATGCATTCTAATAAATGTTAAATAACTCTGGCAAATATTTAACTTGGTTTCTCATCCTTCATCTATGCCATTCTCCAGAAGCTTATGCCAACAAGATGAAAGACAGCTTGCAGAGAAGCAAAGATAATGCAAACCAATCCCCCCAACAACTTGAGGGGGAACAGGGAATAAAGATCATCGAAAATTATCTTAATGGATTACCAGAGCTAGGATGTCGGTCAACTGTTTTTCTATCCCCAAATTGCTCAAATTGAAGAAAGAAATTAATGTGTTTTATTTTTTTGTTGCACTTACTATAAAGGACCCTGTTAAAATTCTGCAAAGTAATGTCTCCTTTAAAACATCATGAGCTACATTATTTTACTTAAGGCTGATGGGAGCTGAAGTCCAACTTCAGAAGGACTTAATACACAGCATCTCTGAAGAGCCAGCAAAATGTTTCTAGATACAGCCATGATAATGGTAATATCCCAGAACTGATGCATGCGGTGCAGTACGATCAAGTTAGCTTGAACTGGCCAAAACATGGCCTTTTTTCAGAATATTTCCCGGCATTGGAGGAAAAGCTGGCTTGGGGTTCCCAACATGTTCCAGGGGATGCTGAATAAATTATAAAGCCTAGAAGGTCTGGGAAAATCTCACAGTGTTAAGTACTGTACTGGCATTGGTTGGGCTATGGCCAAACAATAAAGAGACTGCTACCAGGAACCATATCCCATCCTTCACTCCCAAGAGATGGTTACATAAAGGCACTTGCTCATATGAAATGGAAGGGAATACAGTCAGCTGCATGCCTGTAGCATATGGGTACATTTACAAGTATGAGGTATATACGTACAAATGACAGATAAAATTATGCTATGTTTAGCATAATGAACTTATGTGAACTGTCGCTTTAGATCACTGAGCGACTAAGGCAGCAATCCAGAAATTGTTCCTGTTACATCTTGATGCAAATACACTTGCCTATTATGATAGGAGCCAAAAAAGCAGACCACTGATTTATAAAGTTTTATATTTTAACATCGGGCAGGGCTCTACCGTCCCTAAAACCAGGAGCCAAGTTCAGCTGGATGCAGAGTTGGTCTTTGCCGCTACAGTCCCCTCATAAGGTCTGAAAACATCATTCTATCCCAGGGGTGGGCAAACTTTTTGGCTCGGGGGGCCGCATTCACTTTTAAAATTTGACAGACGGGCCGGGTCAGCACAAGATTTTTTGGGAA